CTTTCCTTCTTATGATGTCTTCGACGAAACCATTGGAGAAGCCGTTATTGACTAGGACCTGCCTTACCCTACAGAGTTCTTCGTCGACTTGCTTCCATTCTGAGCTGTGGCTGAGGGCACGGTCGACATATGCGTTAACAACACTCCTCTTGTACCTGTCTGGGCAGTCGCTGTTGGCATTTAGGCACATTCCTATGTTTGTTTCCTTAGTGTAGACTGCAGTGTGGAAACCTCCGCCCTTTTCCATGACTGTTACATCTAGAAAGGGCAGCTTCCCATCCTTTTCCATCTCGTAAGTGAAACGCAGCACGGAACTCTGCTCAAATGCCTCCTTCAGCTCCTGCAGATGTCTGACATCAGGTACCTGTGTAAAAATGTCGTCAACATACCTGCAGTATATGGCCGGTTTCAAGTTCATGTCGACTAAGACTTTTTGCTCGATGGTACCCATGTAGAAGTTTGCAAACAGGACACCTAGGGGAGAACCCATGGCGACCCCATCTACTTGCTTATACATGTGCTCATCCGAGCTCAAGAAGGGTGCCTCTTTAGTACAAGCTTGGAGTAGTTTCCTCAGAATATTTTCTGGTATGTCAAGAGGAGCACAGGCTGGATCACGATACACTCTGTCGGCTATCATTCCGATTGTCTCGTCCACAGGTACGTTGGTAAACAGCGATTCTACGTCCAACGAGGCTCTTATCCCTGTGGCCCGTGTGCCCCGCAGTAAGTCAACAAATTCCTTTGGAGACTTCAGGCTGAAGGCGCAAGGAACATAAGGAGTCAGCAGGCCGTTGAGTCGCTTCGCCAGTCTGTACGTGGGTGTGGGTATCTGGCTAATGATTGGCCGAAGTGGGTTTCCAGGCTTGTGTGTCTTGACATTTCCATACGCATATCCAGGTTTATATTCCCCATATAAACCTGGTTTATATTCCCAGGGGAATATAAACCTGGATATGCGTATGGAAATGTCAAGACACACAAGCCTGGAAACCCACTTCGGCCAATCATTAGCCAGATACCCACACCCACGTACAGACTGGCGAAGCGACTCAACGGCCTGCTGACTCCTTATGTTCCTTGCGCCTTCAGCCTGAAGTCTCCAAAGGAGTTTGTTGACTTACTGCGGGGCACACGGGCCACAGGGATAAGAGCCTCGTTGGACGTAGAATCGCTGTTTACCAACGTAAGGAGTCAGCAGGCCGTTGAGTCGCTTCGCCAGTCTGTACGTGGGTGTGGGTATCTGGCTAATGATTGGCCGAAGTGGGTTTCCAGGCTTGTGCGTCTTGACATTTCCATACGCATATCCAGGTTTATATTCCCCAAATATAATTGGGGAATATAAACCTGGTTTATATTCCCCAAATAAAATTGGGGAATATAAACCTGGATATGCGTATGGAAATGTCAAGACGCACAAGCCTCGAAACCCACTTCGGCCAATCATTAGCCAGATACCCACACCCACGTACAGACTGGCGAAGCGACTCAACGGCCTGCTGACTCCTTATGTTCCTTGCGCCTTCAGCCTGAAGTCTCCAAAGGAATTTGTTGACTTACTGCGGGGCACACGGGCCACAGGGATAAGAGCCTCGTTGGACGTAGAATCGCTGTTTACCAACGTACCTGTGGACGAGACAATCGGAATGATAGCCGACAGAGTGTATCGTGATCCAGCCTGTACTCCTCTTGACATACCAGAAAATATTCTGAGGAAACTACTCCAAGCTTGTACTAAAGAGGCACCCTTCTTGAGCCCGGATGGGCACATGTATAAGCAAGTAGATGGGGTCGCCATGGGTTCTCCCCTAGGTGTCCTGTTTGCAAACTTCTACATGGGTACCATCGAGCAAAAAGTCTTAGTCGACATGAACTTGAAACCGGCCATATACTGCAGGTATGTTGACGACATTTTTACACAGGTACCTGATGTCAGACATCTGCAGGAGCTGAAGGAGGCATTTGAGCAGAGTTCCGTGCTGCGTTTCACTTACGAGATGGAAAAGGATGGGAAGCTGCCCTTTCTAGATGTAACAGTCATGGAAAAGGGCGGAGGTTTCCACACTGCAGTCTACACTAAGGAAACAAACATAGGAATGTGCCTAAATGCCAACAGCGACTGCCCAGACAGGTACAAGAGGAGTGTTGTTAACGCATATGTCGACCGTGCCCTCAGCCACAGCTCAGAATGGAAGCAAGTCGACGAAGAACTCTGTAGGGTAAGGCAGGTCCTAGTCAATAACGGCTTCTCCAATGGTTTCGTCGAAGACATCATAAGAAGGAAAGTGAAAAGCCATGCAACCTCTGAAGAGACAACTAACACAACACCTATACCCCCTAGTAGACTATTTTACAGGAACTTCTTTTCCACAGCTCATAAAACGGAGGAAAGGGTCCTGAAAGATATTGTTAATAGAAACGTTATCCCTACAGACAAAAATCAGAGGATACAACTGACGATTTACTATAAAACCAGAAAAACGGCCAGCCTACTCATGAGAAACTCTCCAGACACAAAACAGAACGCTTTAAAAGAGACTAACGTCGTCTATGCCTTCAAATGCCCACTTGGGGACTGTAAGCTCCAAAAAACCCAGTATATAGGCAAGACAACAACATCTCTTTCTAGGCGTTTAACGATGCATAAGCAACAGGGCTCCATTAAGGAACATATAATCTCTTCCCACAACCAAACCATCGCCAGAGAAATCCTAGTAAACAACACAGAAATCATCGATAGATACAGCGATAGCAGGCGGCTTGACGTTTGCGAGGCACTACACATCAAGAAGTCAACACCAGCAATCAACAGCCAATTATTGCACAACTATATTCTACCCACCTCAAGACTCCGCTCCAATATAGAAGCATCAAGAAATATGGACCAATAGGCTTTCTACAAACACTTCTATTCAATATCCATTGTTTCGTGTTCTGTCTTGTGTTGATGAAATTAATACCCTATTAATACCCTTGTTCTGTCTTGTGTTGATGAAATTAATACCCTATTAATACCACATTTTGTTCTGTCTTGTGTTAATGCCACATCACCCCTTCCACCTCACTCAAATGTAGATATAAAATCGGAGATACGTAAGTTCTATTCAGTTGTGTATTTGTGAACTAAAGTCTTTGAAAATGTAATAAGTTTTACGAAACGCGCCCGTGTCGCGTCAGACTAGAAATAAAAATGAATTTTGGAGAATTGATTTTTAATTTACCTCCAACAGTGAAGCGTAATGTACGAAAGATTGAGAAAATTCGTGTTAGAATTATTAATCTTACTTTTTCGGTCATATTTAATAATATATATATATATATATATATATATATATGTCGTACCTAGTAGCCAGAACGCACTTTTTGGCCTACTATGCAAGGCCCGATTTGCCTAATAAGCCAAGTTTTCCTGAATTAATATATTTTCTCTAATTTTTTTCTTATGAAATGATAAAGCTACCCATTTCATTATGTATGAGGTCAATTTTTTTTTATTGGAGTTAAAATTAACGTAGATATATGACCGAACCTAACCAACCCTACCTAACCTAACCTAACCTATCTTTATAGGTTAGGTTAGGTTAGGTAGCCGAAAAAGGTAGGTTAGGTTAGGTTAGGTAGGTTAGGTAGTCGAAAAACAATTAATTCATGAAAACTTGGCTTATTAGGCAAATCGGGCCTTGCATAGTAAGCTGAAAAGTGAGTTCTGGCTACTAGGTACGACATATATATATATATATATATATGCAGAATAACCACATATGAAAAATAAAAAATGCTTAACGCGTTTTCGGCTAATTCGCCTTCATCAGAGCAAAGTAGAATCATTTTCTACTTTGAATCAAAGTAGCATTTTCTATCAAAAATCAAAGAATCAAAGTAGCATTTTCTATTTTTCATATGTGGTTATTCTGCATACTTGGATCAGTGTTTTTGTGATCATTGTTGCATATATATATATATATATATATATATATATATATATATATATATATATATATATATATATATATATATTGTTAGTAGTAGTCTTTCCTGTAAACATGTTGTTGAATATGACCAAAAGGGTAATATTAATGATTCTAACACGAATCATCTTAATATTTCTTATGTTTTTTCTTTAATGTCGAGGAAAGTTTAAACATTAACTCTTCAATGTTTTTTTTCACACTTTTTAGTTTAGTCTGACGGCCAAGGACAAAGGAAAAGAGACAGAGGGACAGAGGGAAAGGAACAGAGACAGAGGGACATAGACCGAGCCAGAAAGACAAGAGGCATATAGACGCTCAAAGAGACAGAGATAAATATGTATAGAGACACATACAGAAAGACAAAGACAGACATACAGTAAGAAAAAGAGACAGAATCAGACACAATCTATATTCTAAATTATATCTCTAAAACATACCTTTTATGACGATTGGGTAAAAAACAAAAATAAGTCAAAAAGTTAAATCCACAGCTGTAATACCTTTATCAATGTGTTCCCTGTGATTCATAAACTGGGCTAAACCGTTGTTACTACTTCACGTAAACTGCCTGACGCACTAATTAGCAGCACCAAACTTCAGCCATTATGTGTCCGTTGAGAAATATTCGGTGCTGTGTCTCGCTCGCTGGAGTAACTTCATGATACTTGGAAATAGTGAGTTTCTGAGTAAAGCAATTGTTAATGTGAGAGAGAAATGCTCAGCGCTGTTGAACATATTTACACAGACGAAGTTTTCAGTCTTAACTTTATATATTACTATATATTTCAAAGATGTTTAACATAAACCCGAAAGCCTATAGTAATATTTTATTAATATTTGTAACACATTGACATTGAATATGAATGAATATGGAAAAGTATTTTCTTACATTCTGAAAGAATTTGTAAGACTTTGGCAATTAAGAAATTCTATTAGGTTTTACTATTCCTTATACATATATTAACTATTTCAAAATTGCCTTGCGATTTAGAATACACATCAACAGCCAAATACTGCCGTTGAACAAGTTTATGAAGGATGGGGAGCACAAGACTTCCTAAACAATACTTCCCCGCGCACGTTCTGTATCTTAGTTGAAAGATTCAGAGATTCAAGAGGGTGCAGGAGAAAATTGAAATGCGGCGGTCTAGTGAGGGTAGAATTGGAGGTCGAGTGAGGGTAGAATTGGAGGTCGAGTGAGGGTAGAACTGGTGGTCGCCTGAGGGATAGAATTGGAGGTCGAATGAGGGTAGAACTGAAGGTCGAGTTAGGGTAGAACTGGAGGTCCAGTAAGAGTAGAATTGGTGGTCGAGTGAAGGTAGAACTGGAGATCGAGTGAGGGTAGAACTGGAGGTCGAGTAAGAGTAGAACTGGAGGTCGATTGAGGGTAGAACTGGAGGTCGAGTGAAGGTAAAACTGGAGGTTGAGTGATGGGTAGAACTGGAGGTTGAGTGAGGGTAGAACTGGAGGTTGAGTTACGGGTAGAACTGGAGGTTGAGTGAGGGTTGAACTGGAAGTTGAGTGATGGGTAGAACTGGAGGTCGAGTGAGGGTAGAACTGGAGGTCGAGTGAGGGTAGAACTGGAGGTTGAGTAAGGGTAGAACTAGAGGTCGAGTGAGGGTAGAACTGGAGGTCGAGAGAGGATAGAATTGGAGCTCGAGTATGGGTAGAACTGGAGATCGATTGAGGGTAGAACTGGAGGTCGAGTGAGAGGTAGAACTGGAGCTCGACTGAAGGGTAGAACTGGAGGTCGAGTGAGGGTAGATCTGGAGGAAGAGTGAGGATAGAACGGAAGATCGAGTGAGGGGTAGAACTATAGAGCTCGAGTGAGGGTAGAACTGGAGATCGAGTAGGAGTAGAACTGGAGGTCGAGTGAGGGGTAGAAGTGGAGGTCAAGTGAGGGTAGAACTGGAGGTCAATTTAGGGTAGAACTGGAGGTCGAGTGAGGGGTAGAAGTGGAGGTCAAGTGAGGGTAGAACTGGAGGTCAATTTAGGGTAGAACTGAAGGTCGAGTAACGGTAGAACTGGAGGTTGAGTGAGGATAGAACTGGAGGTCGAGTGAGGGGTAGAACTGGAGTTCGAGAGAGGGTTAAACTGGAGGTTGAGTGAGAGTAGAACTGGAGATCGAGTGAGGGTAGAACTGGAGGTGGAGTGAGGGTAGAACTGGAGGTCGAGTAAGAACAGAACTGGAAGACGAGTGAGGGATAGAGCGAGAGTTCGAGTGAGGGTAGAGCTGGAGGTCGAGAGGGGGTAGAAATGGAGGTCCAGTGAGGGTAGAACTGGAAGTCGAGTAGAAGAAGTCCACAGAAAACTGGAAGTCCACTGAGGGGTAGAACTGGAGGTCGAGTGAGGGTAGAACTGGAGGTCGAGTGAGGGTAGAAATGGAGGTCCAGTGAGGGTAGAACTGAAGATTGAAGGGGCTAGAACTGTAGGTCCAGTTGGAGTAGAACTCGAGTTCGAGTGAGGTGTAGAACTGGAGGTCGAGTAAGGGTAGAACTGGAGGTCGAGTGAGGGTAGAACTGGAGGTCGATTAAGGGTAGAACTGGAGGTCGAGTGAGGGTAGAACTGGAGGTCGAGTGAGAGTAGAACTGGATGTCGAGTGAGGGGTAGAACTGGAGGTCGAGTGAGGGTGGAACTGGAGTTCAAGTGAGGGGGAAGAACTGGAGGTCGAGTCAGGGTAGAACTGGAGGTCGAGTGAGGGGTAGAACTGGAGGTCGAGTGAGGGGTAGAACTGGAGGTCGAGTGAGGGTAGAACTTGAGGTCGAGTGAGGGGGAGAACTGGAAGTCGAGTGAGGGTGGAACTGGAGGTCGAGTGAGGGGGTACAACTGGAGGTCGAGTGAGGGGGTACAACTGGAGGTCGAGTGAGGGTAGAACTGAAGGTCGAGTGAGGGGTAAAACTGGAGGTCGACTGAGGGGTAGAACTGGAGGTCGAGTGAGGAGATGAACTGTAGGTCGAGTGAGGGTAGAACTAAAGGTCGAGTGAGGGTAGAACTGGAGGTCGAGTGAGGGGTAGAACTGGAGGTCGAGTAAGGGTAGAACTGTAGATTGAGTGAGGGTAGAATTGGAGGTCGAGTAAGAACAGAACTGGAGGTCGAGTGATTATGTATGTCTAAATCGAGCCCGACAAGTACAGGAGGACATGAGAGGCATCGTCCTGTCATACTGTTAATGCTTCTGGAAATTAATTGGAGAATCCGTTTCACATTTTATTTTGATTGTTTGGCTTATCCCTACTAACCATAAATTCCAAATCATTTTAGCATTTCGATTTCAAAATTTCAACATTGTCCATCAGGTATTTGGTAATTCTATTATCATTATCTTGGCTCAGAGCCCACTTTTTCAGTATTATTCTGCATCTTCCAAGCTTTCCTTCATTTTATAAACTTATCTAGATCGTCTTGAGGAGATTTTGAGTCTTCCGCATTTATCTTACACTTCATTTTTTATCCTAGGCAAATTCTCAGATATGCTGCTGAATCTTGTGCTTAAATCATCTATATATATTATAAACAACAGAGGTTCCAGGAGAGAGCCTTGAGGCACTCTACTCACAACTGTTCCCACCCGGACCTTCTTTGAAATAACCAAGTCTTAATCCAATTCCTAATACGATGTGCCTTTAATTTTGATGAGTCTCTAATGAGGCGGTGAATCACAGGCTCTGCTAAAGTCAAAGCGGAGAATGTTGCAGTCCTTTGCGTTATCAACTGCCTGAAATATCATAGGAAAGAATTCAAGTAAATTTGATCAACTTGACCGGCCCTTAGTAAGCCCTGGTTGTGAATCCTTCATTATTATTATTAATAGTAGTATTATTTAAGATGTAAACAAATGTTTTTTTCGGTCCATTTTTGCGGTTTCTAGCAAGGTCCATACAGTAGACATTACGCTAACTGAACGATAGATTCCGGGATCTGCCTCCATTTTTAAACATCAGAACCACATTTGCAATTCACCACGATTTTCGTACTCCTGTCGACATTGTCAACGTCGATTTCGCCATAAATCCACGTCATTCGCCCTGAACTTCCCAAGGAGATGGAATGAGGCCCCCTCTCTTCCCTCCCTCCCACCAACACCTCAATCTTTCATAGATGAAAAGCTTGGCAACCTAAGCAGCGTCAAGGCGGTTTGGTAATGCTCACAACGAGACGTGTATTTTGGAGGGTTTCATTTTCTCTCAAGGATCCAATCTACGCATGAAAATTTCCTCTATAAATTTTGGTTTCAGAAGCCCGTTTAATCTTCTGACTGGAGGCAAAAACTGATCTTGTGGTGATATACTGTTGGATAAGTCTTTTGGGTACGACGCTAATATATCGCGGGAACACTCAGCTATAAACTTTACTTTCTGCTCTTCTTAGGCTATCATAATTCGGCACAAAAGTAAACAAAATTCAACATTACCTCATAAATATCAGCACATACATTCTAAAAATGTTGAAGGTAGTCTAGGGTGAGTTTGGAATATCTGAGTAGGTACTGGGGATGGTTCTATCAGGTGCAGCTGTCAGGGTTGGCCCAGGTCGACCCTGGTTATTGAGGAGACGCGTGCCGGGGTCCCAACGCCTCCCCTGCCGGCTGACAAATAGCTCTCAGAGACACGAGGCCGCATGACGCAGACGGAGTGGGAGCCGCCACCGTCACCCGACCCAGAAATTGATACTTCAGATTCCTCGCTTCGAGAGGCTGGCTTGGTACGCTTCGGAGATGTGTTGAGTTTTATCATTTCTCGGTGCATTTATCTTGAGAAACTTATACCTTAAGCTTCATGCCCAGCCGGAGATGTAGTCAATAGATTCTGGATTTCTTGTCTATAGTGCAGTTTTCTTTCAGTGTGCTATCGTATAATTCATCCGAAAATGGCACACATTTGAATCTCTACGAATGTAGAAAGTCTCTTCCATATCTTCCGATCTTTTCGCGTTCATTCAACTAAAAAGTTGCACACCTTATATTATTTTGCCAAGTTTGTCCTTCGCTTCCCGGTGTTCCTGAATACTCTCGTACAACCGGCTTACAGCTATTAAACGTACCCACGCGTTAGGACTCCGGGCACTCGTTAAGCAGAGAATACAAAGCACAGTAAACGATATAACGAAATACCAAAATTTGATCAAGCTCTTAATCTCGAAACGTCATTTACAGATAGGTCTTCTCTCATCCCACATTTCTCTATATCACATGTTAAGCTTTCCCACATCCGTTAACAATAATATTGCTCGTTGAACCATTTGTTTCTGGATTTGTCAACATTATCCCACTGTTCGGGTGACACGTTTGTCTTTGGATCTGGCCACATGATCCCGGACGTGGCTGCCTCTCCACACTTCTCTTATCTAGTCTAGTTACTGATGACAACATTGAACGGTTGAAAACCTTTAACTTTTTACCCATTTTACTGTGGTTACTCCACACACACACACACACACACACACACACACACACACACACACACACACACACACACACACACACACACACACACACACACACACACACACACACACACACACACACACACACACACACACACACACACACACACACACACACACACACACACACACACACACACACACACACACACACACACACACACACACATATATATATATATATATATATATATATATATATATATATATATATATTAAATATATTATTAAATATGACCGAAAAAGTAAGATTAATAATTCTAACACGAATTTTCTCAATCTTTCGTACATTACGCTTCACTGTTGGAGGTAAATCAAAAATCACTTCTCCAAAATTCATTTTTATTTCTAGTCTGACGCGACACGGGCGCGTTTCGTAAAACTTATTACATTTTCAAAGACTTCACAAATACACAACTGATTAGAACGTATCTCTGATTTTATATCTACATTTGAGTGAGGTGGGAAGGGTGATGTGGCATTAACACAAGACAGAACAGGAGGGGATATTAATAGGGTATTAAAAGTATCAACACAAGACAGAACAGAAACAATGGGTATTGAATAGAAGTGTTTGTAGAAAGCCTATTGGTCCATATTTCTTGATACTTCTATATTGGAGCGGAGTCTTGAGGTGGGTAGAATATAGTTGTTATAGATTCCGCTCCAATATAGAAGCATCAAGAAATATGGACCAATAGGCTTTCTGCAAACACTTCTATTCAATACCCATTGTTTCTGTTCTGTCTTGTGTTGACACTTTTAATACCCTATTAATATCCCCTCCTGTTCTGTCTTGTGTTAATGCCACATCACCCTTCCCACCTCACTCAAATGTAGATATAAAATCAGAGATACGTTCTAATCAGTTGTGTATTTGTGAAGTCTTTGAAAATGTAATAAGTTTTACGAAACGCGCCCGTGTCGCGTCAGACTAGAAATAAAAATGAATTTTGGAGAAGTGATTTTTGATTTATTCTACCCACCTCAAGCGGAGTCTTGAGGTGGGTAGAATATAGTTGTTATAGATTCCGCTCCAATATAGAAGCATCAAGAAATATGGACCAATAGGCTTTCTGCAAACACTTCTATTCAATACCCATTGTTTCTGTTCTGTCTTGTGTTGACACTTTTAATACCCTATTAATATCCCCTCCTGTTCTGTCTTGTGTTAATGCCACATCACCCTTCCCACCTCACTCAAATGTAGATATAAAATCAGAGATACGTTCTAATCAGTTGTGTATTTGTGAAGTCTTTGAAAATGTAATAAGTTTTACGAAACGCGCCCGTGTCGCGTCAGACTAGAAATAAAAATGAATTTTGGAGAAGTGATTTTTGATTTACCTCCAACAGTGAAGCGTAATGTACGAAAGATTGAGAAAATTCGTGTTAGAATTATTAATCTTACTTTTTCGGTCATATTTAATAATATATGTCTACAGGAAAGACTGCTACCAAAATATACTAATATATATATATATATATATATATATATATATATATATATGTCGTACCTAGTAGCCAGAACGCACTTCTCAGCCTACTATGCAAGGGCCGATTTGCCTAATAAGCTAAGTTTTCATGAATTAATTGTTTTTCGACTACCTAACCTACCTAACCTAACCTAACCTAACTTTTTCGGCTACCTAACCTAACCTAACCTATAAAGATAGGCTAGGTTAGGTTAGGTAGGGTTGGTTAGGTTCGGTCATATATCTTCGTTAATTTTAACTCCAATAAAAAAAACTGACCTCATACATAATGAAATGGGTAGCTTTATCATTTCATAAGAAAAAAATTAGAGAAAATATATTAACTCAGGAAAACTTGGCTTATTAGGCAAATCGGGCCTTGCATAGTAGGGCAAGAAATGCGTTCTGGCTACTAGGTACGACATATATATATATATATATATATATATATATATATATATATATATATATATATATATATATATATATATATATATATATATATGTATATATATATATATATATATATATATATATATATATATATACTGATCGAAACTGTGAACGCCAAGAAATCCGGACTCCACCTGCCAAAGATCATTGGGAATATAAACCTGGATATGCGTATGGAAATGTCAAGACGCACAAGCCTGGAAACCCACTTCGGCCAATCATTAGCCAGATACCCACACCCACGTACAGACTGGCGAAGCGACTCAACGGCCTGCTGACTCCTTATGTTCCTTGCGCCTTCAGCCTGAAGTCTCCAAAGGAATTTGTTGACTTACTGCGGGGCACACGGGCCACAGGGATAAGAGCCTTGTTGGACGTAGAATCGCTGTTTACCAACGTACCTGTGGACGAGACAATCGGAATGATAGCCGACAGAGTGTATCGTGATCCGGCCTGTACTCCTCTTGACATACCAGAAAATATTCTGAGGAAACTACTCCAAGCTTGTACTAAAGAGGCACCCTTCTTGAGCCCGGATGGGCACATGTATAAGCAAGTAGATGGGGTCGCCATGGGTTCTCCCCTAGGTGTCCTGTTTGCAAACTTCTACATGGGTACCATCGAGCAAAAAGTCTTAGTCGACATGAACTTGAAACCGGCCATATACTGCAGGTATGTTGACGACATTTTTACACAGGTACCTGATGTCAGACATCTGCAGGAGCTGAAGGAGGCATTTGAGCAGAGTTCCGTGCTGCGTTTCACTTACGAGATGGAAAAGGATGGGAAGCTGCCCTTTCTAGATGTAACAGTCATGGAAAAGGGCGGAGGTTTTCACACTGCAGTCTACACTAAGGAAACAAACATAGGAATGTGCCTAAATGCCAACAGCGACTGCCCAGACAGGTACAAGAGGAGTGTTGTTAACGCATATGTCGACCGTGCTCTCAGCCACAGCTCAGAATGGAAGCAAGTCGACGAAGAACTCTGTAGGGTAAGGCAGGTCCTAGTCAATAACGGCTTCTCCAATGGTTTCGTCGAAGACATCATAAGAAGGAAAGTGAAAAGCCATGCAACCTCTGAAGAGACAACTAACACAACACCTATACCCCCTTTTAGACTATTTTACAGGAACTTCTTTTCCACAGCTCATAAAACGGAGGAAAGGGTCCTGAAAGATATTGTTAATAGAAACGTTATCCCTACAGACAAAAATCAGAGGATACAACTGACAATTTACTATAAAACCAGAAAAACGGCCAGCCTACTCATGAGAAACTCTCCAGACACAAAACAGAACGCTTTAAAAGAGACTAACGTCGTCTATGCCTTCAAATGCCCTCTTGGGGACTGTAAGCTCCAAAAAACCCAGTATATAGGCAAGACAACAACATCTCTTTCTAGGCGTTTAACGATGCATAAGCAACAGGGCTCCATTAAGGAACATATAATCTCTTCCCACAACCAAACCATCGCCAGAGAAATCCTAGTAAACAACACAGAAATCATCGATAGATACAGCGATAGCAGGCGGCTTGACGTTTGCGAGGCACTACACATCAAGAAGTCAACACCAGCAATCAACAGCCAATTATTGCACAACTATATTCTACCCACCTCAAGACTCCGCTCCAATATAGAAGCATCAAGAAATATGGACCAATAGGCTTTCTACAAACACTTCTATTCAATATCCATTGTTTCGTGTTCTGTCTTGTGTTGATGAAATTAATACCCAATTAATACTCTTGTTCTGTCTTGTGTTGATGAAATTAATACCCTATTAATACCACATTTTGTTCTGTCTTGTGTTAATGCCACATCACCCCTTCCACCTCACTCAAATGTAGATATAAAATCGGAGATGCGTAAGTTCTATTCAGTTGTGTATTTGTGAACTAAAAGTCTTTGAAAATGTAATAAGTTTTACGAAACGCGCTCGTGTCGCGTCAGACTAGAAATAAAAATGAATTTTGGAGAATTGATTTTTGATTTACCTCCAACAGTGAAGCGAAATGTACGAAAGATTGAGAAAATTCGTGTTAGAATTATTAATCTTACTTTTTCGGTCATATTTAATAATATATATATATATATATATATATATATATATATATATATATATATATATATATATATATATATATATATATATATATATATATATATATATCTATCTATATGTGTGTGTGTGTGTGTGTGTGTGTGTGTGTGTGTGTGTGTGTGTGTGTGTGTGTGTGTGTGTGTGTGTGTGTGTAGAGAAACCACAGTAAAATAGGTAAGAAGTTAAAGGTTTTCAACCTGTCAATGTTTTGGGTGAGATGATTGACATTTGCACATGATAGAACATGAACCAATGGGTA